AAAAAAAAAAAAAAAAAAAAAAAAAAAAAAAAAAAAAAAAAACGAGAGAGGGGAGGGAGAGGGTTGGAGAGGGAGACTGTTGTTGCTGTAAGCCGGGGTAAATGGCGGTGGTTTGCTCTGGGGTGGCGGCAGCGACCGTGGGATTACAGGGAAGTGTGTGGCTTGCTTGCAAGGGTCATGTGTACTGACTGTGGGCAGGCAGAAGCAGGTGCTGTCCTGGCCATCCTGTCTGCGGATGTGTGGCTTCAGACCAGTCACACCACCTCTCTGAGCTCTGCTTCCCTCATCTGTAAAATAGGGATCCTCATGGCACTTCCCTTGGAGCTCTGCCCTGAGGATGCTGTGCTTTAGCGATGGCTGTTCCCGAGTGAGGGCTCAATAAATGTTGGTTATCGTTGTCATTATTTTCAGGGATAGCAGTGCGGGTGGGGGTTGTGACCACTATAATGCCACTAGTTATATGGTCTGAAACTCAAAGAGAGAAATTGTGTTAGTTTTGTTGCATCTCTATGAGTGAATACCTGAGGCTGGGTAATTTATAAAGAAAAGAGGTTTAGTTGGCTCACAGTTCTACAGGCTGCACAGGACATGCGGTCCTGGCAGCTGCTTCTGGTGAGGGCTTCAGGAAGCTTACAATCACGGCGGAAGGTAAAGGGGTGGTTGGCATATCACATGGTGGGGGCAAAAGACTGGTGGGAGGTGACAAGATCTTTTTTTTTTTTTTTTTCTTCCCCCCGAGACGGAGTCTCTCTCTCGTCGCCAGCCTGGAGTACAGTGGTATGATCTCGGCTTACTGAAACTTCTGTGTCCCAAGTTTAAGCGATTCTCCTGCCTCAGCCTCCTGAGTAGCTGGGACTACAGGCGTGTACCACCACGCCCAGCTAATTTTTATATTTTTATTAGAGATGGGGTTTCAGTATGTTCCCCGTAATGGTCATGATCTCTTGACCTCGTGATCCGCCCACCGTGGTTGGCCTCCCAAAGTGCTGGGATTACAGACCAGAGCCACTGTGCCTGGCCAGACATGCTCTTTTAAACAACCAGATCTCATGTGAACTTGGCGAGAACTTACTCATCACCTTGAAGATGGCACCAAGCCATTCATGAAGGATCCGCCTCCATGATCCAAATGCCTCCCACCAAGCCCCATCTCCAACATTGGGGATTAGATTTTTTTTTTTTTTTTTTGAGATGGAGTCTTGCTCTGTTGCCCAGGGTGGAGTGCAGTGGCGCTATCTCGGCTCACTGCAACCTCTGCCTTCTGGGCTCAAGCAGTTCTCCTGCCTCAGTCCCAGCCTCCCAAGTAGCTGGGACTACAGGTGTGCACCACCACATCCAGCTAATTTTTGTATTTTTAGTAGAGATGGGGTTTCACCATGTTGGGAAATTACTATGAAACAGAGTCTTACGTCACCCACGCTGGAGTGTAGTGGCACAGTCTTGGCTCACTGCAACCTCCACCTCCTGGGTTTAAGTGATGCTCCTGCCTCAGCCTCCTAAGTAGCTGGGACAGCAGGGCACACAACCATGTCCAGCTAATTTTTGTATTTTTAGTAGAGACAAGAGTTTCATCATGTTGGTCAGGCTGGTCTTGAACTCCTGACCTCAGGTGATCTGCCCGCCTTGGTCTCCAAAAGTGCTAGGGTTACAGGCCTGAGCCACCAGACTGATAATGGGAAATTTAAAATTCAGGTCCTCCGACCCACAAGCCACATTTCAAGAGTGTTAAGAGTCTCATGTGGCTAGAGACTGTCATAGAACTTTCCACGATTGCAGAAGGTTCTGATGGACAGTGCTCTAGGACGTAGCTGTGGCACCCCCAGGGTCCTGGGGCTGGCTGCTACAGTAACTCCCCTTCTGTCCCCCACTCCCAGCTGCACCTGCATATGCTGCTGCTGCCGCCGTCCTGCGAGGCCGAGGCGCCACGTGGCTGGAGGAGGAGCTGCGGGCGCTACTGGCAGCCGGACGTGAGCGGCAGCTGCCCCTAGTGCTGACCGCGTGTGCGGCTCCTAGTGCGGCTGCAGCGCCTCCGCGGTTGCTCTGGACGCCCAAGTCCTTCGTGTGCGCAGCCAGAGCCCAGGCTTCCAACGGTTCTCCGGGGGGGCACTGCCAGCGTTTCCTACCTCCGCCTTCGCTGCGCCTCGGTGTCCCCACGTGACTTCTGGAAACCTCACACTTCCCCACCTGCATATTCAGCAGTCTGGTCCTCTGTGGCCTCAGTTCCCGCATGTGACTGTGAGAAGCACACACCTTCCCAAACTCTTATCTGGCAGTGTCTGGCCTTCTGGGCCTCGGTCTCCCCATTTGCTGGATGGAGAATCAGGCCCGTGCCACATCGGAGCCAGTGAATGGCTGGCCTCTGGACCTCGGTCTCCCCATTTGCTCAGCCGGCAGGAACATCCCTTCTCCAGCCTTCTGCCTCGGTGGGTGGCCACGGCGGATCAGGCAGCTACCACCCAGTGGAAAGAGGACAAACCCTTGTGGGCCTGCGGGCCAAGACGTAACTTTGCTTAGTATCAGTTTATTGGCCGATCTCTGTCAAAGCGGCCGAACTGTTAAGGTCGGGAGGCTTGAGGGGAGCTGGGCCGCCGGGGGCGGGCGTCTTCCGTGGGCCCCCCGCCTCGGGTCCCCTCCCCGCAGGGCGCTCCACAGAGGCGGGGGGTGGGAGCGCCGGCTCCAGGCGGCGGAACCTCTGCGCGGGGCTCGCGCGCTTCCGGCCGGCGCCTTTTCCCAGGGACGCCACCGCCCCTCGCGCCCCCGCGCCCGCGCCCCCAGTCCCCGCGTCCCCGGCGCCGCCGGCCGGAGCTGCCCGGAAGTCTCGGTTCAGCCGCCGGCGCTCGCCAGGGGAAGCCCGGGGCAGCCCGGGACCTCGGCCCGCTCCTCAGGACCCGAGAGGCCGCCGCACGGGGTACGGGGGCCGGGAAGTGAGGGGAAAGAGGGGCCCCAGGGTCGGGTGGGGGGCGAAAACGCCCAGGCGCCGGGGTTCCCAGAAACAAGGGGAGCAGAGCGAAAGAACAGGGATGGGACCATGCTGTGTGTAACGGGGAGAGGGATGGGGCTCCTGGAAGAGGTGAAGAGGAGAATGAGATGCCAGATGTACAGAGAAAGGAGGGAAAGGGGGGCTTTGGAGAGGTAGTGTGGGAAGCGGAGTTCCAGGGCCTGGTGCGCATAACTGGGTCTGGGAGAAGCCCCCTGATGGGTATAGAAAGAAGTCACGATGTCACCGTCGTCTGTAGGGGCGGGGGAGAAAGGGGGGCTCTTGGGGAGAACGTAGCAGGTAGCCAGGTTGAGGGGACGGGGTATACATAAGGCAGGCCTTTGAGGCATCTTCGGGGTTCTTTATAGATGGATGAGACGATGGGTTCCGTAGTGGGGAGAGGTGGCTAGACTTCGAGGTGCTAAGTGTAGGAGCAGAATGGAGGAGCCCTAGTGAAATGTAGGGAATTGGGTTAGTGGGGCTCTGGGGAGGCACCTAGAAAGGAAGTGAGGGAGGCCACGGAATCTGAAGATGGGGAGGCCCTGCGGCATGTAGCGGGGATGGAGCCCCAGGAGGGCGCGGAGGCTGATGCGGGGCCCGTGGGGGTGGGGTGGGGGGACAGAGGGAGGGGAAGCAACCTGAACTGGGGCTGGGCAACAGAGGAAGAAGAAAGCACAGATTAGAGAAATCCCGGAGGTCAGGAGGGCCGGGCTGTGAGACATAAAAGAGGTAAACAGACTGGAGGATTGATTGTCTGCTAGGGTGGATTGAGAGGAGAAAAGGGAAGAAAAATCGGGGGCCACGCCCTCAGACTTGACCTGGGTGCTGAGAGGTGGGCCCTGGAGGAACAGCAGGCGGTGGCACGGTTTTGCCGAGCTCAGTTGGAGGCCCTCTCCGAGGCAGGCTGATGGAACGTGGGAGAGCTGGGCTGGAGTCAAGAGTTTTTATTTTACTGGGGAGGTGGTCAATGGCGCATAAACGGTAACAAGCAGTGATAGTGGGGACGCTTTCCATTTTAGGAAGCTTTTCCTTAAAGGAAGTGGCAATTTTAACTAATCTCCCCTCCGCCGCTCCCAGCTGCCGCTCCAGATGCTGCTGCTGCCGCCGCGGCCACCCCACCCTCGGTCCTCCTCTCCGGAGGCCATGGACCCACCGCCCCCCAAGGCTCCCCCTTTTCCCAAGGCGGAAGGCCCCTCCTCCACGCCTTCCTCGGCGGCGGGGCCCCGACCCCCGCGGCTGGGCCGCCACCTCCTCATCGACGCCAATGGGGTCCCCTACACATACACGGTGCAGCTGGAGGAGGAGCCCCGGGGCCCGCCCCAGCGCGAGGCGCCCCCAGGAGAGCCCGGCCCTCGCAAGGGCTACAGCTGCCCCGAGTGCGCCCGTGTCTTTGCCAGCCCTCTGCGGCTGCAGAGCCACCGCGTGTCGCACTCGGACCTCAAGCCCTTCACGTGCGGCGCCTGCGGCAAGGCCTTCAAGCGCTCCAGCCACCTGTCGCGGCATCGCGCCACGCACCGCGCCCGCGCCGGGCCGCCGCACACCTGCCCGCTCTGCCCACGCCGCTTCCAGGACGCCGCGGAGCTGGCGCAGCACGTGCGCCTCCACTAAGCTCGAGACCCGGCCTGTGCTGCCCTGGCCCTCTCAGGGCCACCAAGTCTGACCCACACAGCGTCACTCACTCCCACACACACTCCCTGGCTCTGCTGAGGTTACTGCCTTACCCCGGGCCTCAGTTTCCCCACCTTCCAAAGGGAGGCGCGTCATTCTTTCCTTATCCCCTTTCTAGCTGTGTGATGTAGACCAAAGTCGTTGCCCCTCCCTGGACCCGGGAACCAGTCGGAACTGGGTTCCGGTCCAGCTGTGCTGTGTGAACTTTTGCAAGTGACATGACCTTTAAGCCTTGGTTTCCTGCCCTCTGGAGCGGTGAGCCGGTGGCTGTCAGCGGGGAAGAGATGATAAAGAGCACGGGCACGGTCTGGTTCATTTCTGTACCTACCCCCCTTCCGCCCACGCCCCCTACCCTTTGCTCAATAAACATTCCGCACTCCATTTTCAGGGTCTTACTTGCGTGTGCGTGCGCCTTGGGTGCTGGGGGGTGGAGACCGGACCTTCCTTGCTTAGGAACCTTCTTCTGGGTGTGTGTTTCTGGCCGGAGCCGTTTCGCGATGGCCTCGGCGCCCCGCCCCCAACTTCCTTCTCTAGACCCTCTCTTCTCTTCGGCTCCTCTCTCTCGGCCGGCGCCGTCTGCTCCTGGGGCACACCCAGAAGTTCCCTTCCCGCCGCCGCCTGCAACTGCGAGGGTAGCCCGGGGCCACTTGGAGTCGCCCGGACCTGAGAGGCTGCTGCACTGGGTACGGGGGCCGGGAAGAGAGAGCGGGCTGCGAGCGGACGGCGGGAGGGCCGGGGCCGCGTGGAGGGTACCTGGGCCCGGGCGGAGGTGGGGCAGGCACCGGAGGGGGCTGTTCTGGGGCTTTCAGGAGTCGGGAAGTTACATTGAAAGGCCCAGAAGGCGAGAGCTGCGGCCCTGGGGGTGGAAGCCTGGAGAGTGCTGGGACCTAGAACGAGCCTGGTGGTGGCCGGGCGAGGACTAGCGAGAACCCGAGGTGGTTGGACGGGGCGGGGGCGGGGGCACAGAGTTCTCCAGGCACGTGCCTGGAGGGGGACCCAGAACCTGGGGGACCTAACTCGCAGCCCCTGTGAGTAGGTTTGGCTTGTATGGAGGGGGCAGGAAAGGCTTGAGTGGAGTATGTAGGATGGGCCAACACGGAGACCCTGTAAGGAGCCGGAAAGAGGGGAGAGAGAGGCCTTGAGGCCTGCGGAGTGGGGCACCCAGTGACCTGGGAGGGCACAAAGGGGAAAGTTAGAGCGAGGTCCAGGTTGTGCAGAGCAGGTCAAGAAGTCCTGTGAGTACAGTGGGTGGTGGTGCACCGAGGCTAGAAAAGGTTTTCCAACGAGGGAGACTGGGAACTTTTCGGGGGGGCCACAGAGTCCAGCTGTGAGTGGGACTGGAGAGGAGGGACTGAGGGGCCATGGGCTGCAGAAGTCCTGGGGCGGGTATAGGGAGAGAAAAGGACGGAGCCTATGGTGCTGAGCTGCCCTCTTCCATATAACCTTCCTATCCTGTTTCCCATACGCCAGGCCTCAGCCACCCCTCCGGATGCTGGTGCTGCCATCCCGCTGCCCTCAGCCCCTGGCATTTTCCTCCGTTGAGACCATGGAGGGCCCTCCCCGTCGGACATGCCGCTCCCCGGAACCTGGACCTTCCTCCTCCATCGGAGCTCCACAGACTTCATCCCCTCCAAAGCCCAACCACTACCTGCTCATTGACACTCAGGGTGTCCCCTACACTGTGCTGGTGGACGAGGAGTCGAAGAGGGAGCCGGGGGCCAATGGGGCTTCAGGCCAGAAAAAGTGCTACAGCTGCCCAGTGTGCTCCAGGGTCTTCGAGTACATGTCGTACCTTCAGCGACACAGCATCACCCACTCGGAGGTGAAGCCCTTCAAGTGCGACACCTGTGGGAAGGCTTTCAAGCGGGCCAGCCACTTGGCACGGCACATCTCCATTCACCGCGCGGGTGGTGGGCGGCCCCACGGCTGCCCGCTCTGCCCTCGCCGCTTCCGGGATGCGGGTGAGCTGGCCCAGCACAGCCGGGTGCACTCCGGGGAACGCCCGTTCCAGTGTCCACACTGCCCTCGCCGCTTTATGGAGCAGAACACACTGCAGAAACACACGCGGTGGAAGCATTCGTGAGCCGGGTGGCTGGGTGCCCCAGGTACCACAGGATTTTGCAGGGAGCCTGGACTCCTGTCCAGACACCTGGTGAGAGTCTGAGGCTGGCGTTCAGGGCCCTGGACAGACACAGAGCAGCCGCATCTCAAAGGCAGAGCCCTGCCCGAAGGAGGAATCCGTGAGTAGTCTTCAGGTCCTCCGTGTTTTGGAGCTGAGATGGGAATGAACCCCACGCAGAGTGGAGTCCTCTAGCCTAAAGAGATCAGCTATTCCGTGGCAGAGCCTTGACTGGATGGGGGTTGGGAGAGTGGAAATCTTCTGGCCTCATAAAAGATGGCTGGGGTCATCAGGAATCTGTGCCATCTTCCTGTGGCCTGTGCTGTTGTTGGGGAAAGGACCCCCATTCTGCCTTACACCCCCAACCAGGCCTGAGACTGATCAAACAATAAACACATTTCCCACTCTGAGCACTTGAGGTTTGTTTCTAGAGACAGCATCTCAGACCCTCTTTTGTGGCCGCCTAGCAGGGAGACAGCTCGCCTGGCTGGGGAATAGGAAGGTCGGCCTACTCTGGGGTTAACCCTGCCTCAGCTCTTGAAGACCTGTGTCATCTGGAAAGAATATTTTTAAACTTAAATTTTAAAACTAACAGATTTTATATGGCAATAGAGTACACAGATACACAAAATATATGTGAAACAAGTTTCTTTCTTTTTTTTTTTTTTTTTCTGATGGAGTCTTGCTCTGTTGCCCAGGCTGGAGTGCAAGTGGCACAATTTCGGCTCACTGCAACCTCCACCTCCCGGGTTCGAGCAGTTCTTCTGTCTCAGCCTCTCAGGTAGCTGGGATTACAGTAGAGACAGGGTTTTACCATATTAGCCATGCTGGTCTTGGAGCTCCTGACCTTGTGATCTGCCTGCCTCAGCCTCCCAAAGTGCTGGGATTACAGGCCTTTTTTTTTAATTTTTTTTTTTTTTTTTTAAGTGTTTGCTCTGGAGTGAGTGCAATGGCATGGTGTCAGCTCACTGCAAACTGCACCTCCTGGGTTCAAGTGATTCTCCTAACCTCAGTTTACCAGGTAGCTGGGATTACAAGTGTGGATCACCACGCCCGGCTAATTTTGCACTTTTAGCAAAGATGGGGTTTCACCATGTTAGCCAGATGGGCCTTGAACTCCTGACCTTGGGTGATTCACATGCCTCAGTCTCCCAAAGTGCTGAATTACAGGTGTGAGCCACGGCACTGGGCCTCAAGACAAAAATTTCTTTACCATAGTTAGCTTTAGTATGTGCAGATTTTTTTTTATCAAGCATTATTATTTTTTGAGACAGAGTCTTGCTCTGTCACCCAGGCTGGAGTGCAGTGGTGCCATCTTGGCTCGCTGCAACCTCTGCCTCACGGGTGAAGGCAGTTCTCTTGCCGCAGCCTCCTGAGTAGCTGGGATTATGGGTGTGTGCCACCACATCCGGCTAATTATTTTTTTAAACTGCTGATTCCATCCTATTTTGAATTCTCCACCCATGATCTTGTACTTTGGAAAAGACCAATCTAGAGCAGGTGGCTCGTCCAGGAATTTTTGGACCAGGCTGCAGTTTATCTGTAAAGGGAGGGGAAGATCATGGTCACAGCTCTGCAAGGGGGTGCAGACATTTAGATTCTCTATCGAGTTAAGACCTTGCTTTCATAAGGGCTGGCCGGATGCTTCTGGTGAACAGGAGAGGCAGGTGGAGCTGAGCCTGAAGCTTAATAACCATCTGTTTATTAGCTCACTTTCCTTGCCTGTTTTGTGCCAGGCACTGTGCTAGGCCTTGTTTGTTCTTCCGACCACTTCCTTGGGAGGAAGAACAAATCTCCCGTTCGAGCTCCCCGAAGTGGGAAAGAGCCTCACAGAGGCTGCGATCACACCCCATCATCTGACTTCAATACCAGCAGCACCCCTCTCTTCAGCGCTGACTATGGCCAGGTGCTGGGCTGAGCTTCTGCCTGTCACAGCACCGCATCCTGGCAAGAAATTTAGGGCTTGTAATGTCCCCATTTTACAGGTGAGTTAACAGGCTGGGGAGGGGCAGGAACAGTCAGGACTGGAATGTAGCTCTGCTCCAAAGCCAGCTCTTAATTACCAACATGGGGGTGGGGGTGGGGGTGGCGTGCTCCTGGCCCTCGTTTTCCGGTAGGGGGGTAACTTCCCCCATTTTGGCCCCCACATCCCTGGGAACCTTGGAGTCTGGCTGTGGGAGGCGGGGGCTCTGTGGGGGTCCGCGCTGGCTAGTTCCAGAGGAATCGTTAAAAGTAGATTCTTTCGCTCCAACTCTCCTGCCTTCTCCTGGGCCCACTGGGCACAGCGCCACCGAACGCGGGGACCCCCGGAGACTCGCCAGCTCTCCTGGATGGGAATTTCGTGACGTTCCCTGCCTGAGCTTTGGGGAGGGCGGGGGAGTGCTGTAAGGGACCATCGCACAAGTGCATCCCCCTGCTTCTGCCGCAAACGACAGGCCTCACCTGGACCCAGGGACTCTCGAACGAGGAGCGCAGGCCTAGCCCGACGGGGCGAGTCCCCACGTCCCTGTCCGTTCCATCGCTCAGTTCCACGACTGGCTATCCTGCAGCCCCGCCTGTTCGTGGGTGAGTGCGCGCTTCCCTCGGCTCCCCGTGTCACTTTGCAGACGCTCCCCGGCGCCGGGCATGGGCGCCGCCGCCGTCGGTCCCCGAGCCGGATTCCGCGCGCGGGTGGGTGAGCTTGGGGGGCCCCGGACCCCAGGCATCCACGGTCGGGGGATGGTGGCCGCGTTTGCAACCCTGGCCTGGTTCATGCCCCCGCTGGGATCTTTCCACGACTGCTCCCCCTCCCACTCGCGGGACAAAGGGCGGGGGCGGGAGGGGGCGCATCCCCACGCGTGACCTTTCCCCGTACTGCGCACGCGCCCAGCCCCCACCGCCGGGAGGGTTCGTCCGCCCACGCGAGTGCGGGGGAGGGATATGGGGCCCCGGGGGTAGGGGAGGCAGAGCGCACGGGCCGGACCTCCCTCTAGCTTGGGAAGTTGGGGCAGTTTTCCCTTGCACCTGCCTCTTGCTTAGGCCCGGAGGTGGCCCGCGATGAGCCAGGGTTCTTGCCCTGCAGGCCATGTGTCCCTGCTCAGGTGACCCCTTGGGGCACCCAGCAATTTAGGGCTTCAGCTTCCTCTTCCTTCCATACCTGGGAGCCCACGTCCCCAGCTCACTTCTTCCCCAGGACCTAGGCGGCTGGGCCTCCTGCCTGTCTCTGGGAGCCCAGGAGTTTGAACCTGGGCGTGTTTGGCCTCAGTGCTGGGGTCCGGGCTCCCTCCTCCCTCAGACCAGGGTTCCCTCCTCTCTCATCTCACCTCCCCCAGGATGGACCCTCGAGTCCGTCCGCGTCCCTCCATTTGTGGCTGCTGTTTCTGTCCAGTGCCTCTGAGGCGCTCGGCTGCTGGGGTCCGCAGGAAACCACGCCATGAATGACCGGACCAGCCGGAGGCGGACAAGTGAGGAAGCTGGGTCCCCTTCCCTACCCTGGGTCCCAGTGCGGTTGGCTTCAGGCTGCCGTGGTTGGGGGGTGGGCTGAGGGGCTTGGGGAATTCTCTGGGGTGACCCAGGGCCTCTCCTCTCCAGTGAAGGACGATGAGGCTTTCGAGATCTCCATCCCCTTCGACGAGGCGCCCCACCTAGACTCACAGATCTTTTACAGTCTGAGCCCCTCTCGGGGAAACTTCGAGGGTGAGCTGAGGGGGCGAGGAGGGATTGGAGCCAGCTGGGAAGACAGGCCCTGAGTCCCAAGGTGTGACCTGGGCCCCACCCTTGCTGTGTCCCTAGAGCCCCCTGAGGACACGTCCCCTACCCTGGCCCTGATGAACAGCGTCAAGGCCCAGCTGCACATGGCCCTGGAGAGGAACTCCTGGCTGCAGAAGCGCATTGAGGACCTGGAGGAAGAGAGGGACTTCCTGCGCTGCCAGCTGGACAAGTTCATCTCTTCCGCTCGGATGGATGCAGGTGTGTTTGTGGGGCACACTGGGCCCGTCACCTCCCTGTCCCGCTCCTGGGCACCCGCTCACCCAGGCTCCAGGCTCCACTGTTTGACTGGCTGTGTGGAACCTGCCATGTTGGCCATCTCTGCTAGCTCCCTGCCTGTTTCCGGGCTTCAAGCCCAGCTTCCTTCTTGCTTGGCCTCCAAGGCCTCATCCCCACGAACTATCTCCTGGGGCCCCTCCTGCCTTCTCAGTCAGCTCCCCGAATTCCATCAGCCTCAAGTGCCCTGCCATGTTTCCCAGCCCTGGGTGCTTTTAGGGACTTTGGGACCTGAGAGCTTCTCTCTTCCTGACTCCTAGGGGAATGTTCCTTCTCTTTGGCTGAGAGGCCCATCCTAGTCCTCTGGGTGTCCTTGGGGGTCCCCGCGTCTCTTCCCAGGCCTGTCTTCTCTGAGATCCAGGAGTCCAGCCATCTAGCCTCTTCTGTCCCCTCCCCTGTGTGACACCAGGGGCTGTCTTCCCACCCACCGTGTCCCATCCTTGGTTAATGAGCCCTCCTTCCCCATCAAAGAAATTAAGTCCCTTAGTGGGGCTCTTCGGGTGGGGACCTCAGCATGTGTTGTCCCCCAGACCCTGCCCCAGGTTCCCAGGTAGTCCCCACCCATGTCCCTTCCTCTAATTCATGGCCAGAAGCAGCCCACTGCCCCAGCCAGCTCACAGCTAGCATCTTCTCTTGACCACTGGGACCCTGTGCCCTGCTTCATACATTCGGAAGCCCAGCCCCAACCTTTTCTCTAGATGGTCAGGTCCTTTGCCCCAGACCCTTAGCCCATGTCCCAGAGAACCCACACTCTACCTTACCTACCCTCAGCTCAGCCTTGGTAGCTCCCTGGCTGGGAAGACCCCTCAAAAGTTCCCACATCTCTCTGTGAATTTAACCATTTCCCCCAAAAGCTTGGGCTAGGGGCCTGTGGAATCTGACATTCCCTGTGCTCTGGAGCAAACTGCCTGCCACTGTCTCCTTCCGCTGAGGGGTCCATCCTGGGTTTCTGACTCCTTTGCACAGACGGTTGGGCCCTGCGACCCCAGCACTTTCCCAGTGGGGACCCTTGCACCAGACCCCTCCCCTAACCCACCTTCTAGAGGACTCTGTATCTGGGTAGAGGTGGGAACCAGCCTGCTGGACCCAGGGCTCCTGATTTCTCTCAGGGTGTGAACCCCCTGACTCCAGCCAAGGCCTTGCCCGCCTCCTGGGCTTCCAGATCCAGTCCCTCCTCCATGGGAAGCACACACAGTCACAGGGGTCCTGAGGCCCTTGGTTCTGGCTGCTTCCCCAAGACATGTGACCAACCCACGCCTCTGAGAGAATGCTCCACCTGTGACCACCTGATCCAGTTTTGGGGACTGCAGCCTCTGTCAGTCCCGGGACCTGTGATGGGGTTTCTGGTCTGGTAGCTCATTTGTGTGTCTCTCTCTCCAGAGGACCACTGCCGGGTGAAGCCTGGGCCACGGCGGATTGAGGGGGACAGCCGGGGCGGAGCTGGGTGCGAAGCCTCAGACCCCGAATCAGCAGCCTCTTCCCTCAGCGGAGTGTCGGAAGAAGGCAGTGCCAGCGAGAAAAGGCGGCAGAAGCAGAAGGGAGGTGCCAGTCGGAGGCGCTTTGGGAAGCCCAAGGCCCGGGAGAGGCAGCGGGGTGAGTGGGGTGCATGGGGTGGGCGCTGAGGTCTTGGGCTGCTGAATTGCTGTGTGACCTTCCCAGAGGCCCTCCTTTCTCCCCAAACCCCTACACCTTGCTGGAGAAAGACCCACCAGGTTTTTTCTCTCTCCCCTTCACGTGTGGTCCTCAGTTTATTTATTTATTTTTTTGAGAGGGAGTCTCGCTTTGTTGCTAAGGCTGGAGTGCAGTGGTGTGATCTTGGCTCACTGCAACCTCTGCCTCCCAGGTTCAAGTGATTCTCCTGCTTCAGCCTCCCAAGTAGCTGGGACTACAGAGGTGCGTCATGGTGCCCGGCGAATTTTTGTATTTTTGGTAGAGACAGGGTTTGACCATGTTGGCCAGGCTGGTCTTGAACTCCTAACCTCAAGTGATCCGCCTGCCTCGGTTTCCCAAAGTGGTGGGATTACAGGCGTGAGCCACACTACCGGGCCTGCCCTGGGTTTACTTTCTTTAAGTTTTGGTCCACCTTCGCATACCTTGGGCACCTCTTTAACCTTCATCAGTGAGAAAGAGGCCTGCTGGAGGACCTCTCTCACGGGGAGCGTGAGGCTTAAGTGAATTGACCTGAGGCAGGGAGCAGAGGGTGAGGGCGCCGCCCGGTCCTGGGACCCTGTCGGTTTAACTCAGTCTTGGGGCTCATTTTCTCTCCTCACCCTCCTCCCTGGGCCTGCCTCTTCCCACTTTCCACTGGTCCAAACTCTGGATGCACTTTTCCCCTCCTCTCCTCGGCCTCCTGTTCTACACCGGCCCATGCCTCTACCCGCCGGGATCCTTCCTTCCCATGGCCGTTTCCCTTTCGGTGTCCCCCTTTCGGTGTCCGCCCCCTGTGCTTTGCCCCCTGCCCCTCACTTCCGTGTCCCCGCCTCCCCCCCCCGCAGTGAAGGACGCTGATGGGGTTCTCTGCCGGTACAAGAAGATCCTGGGCACCTTCCAGAAGCTCAAGAGCATGTCGCGGGCCTTCGAGCACCACCGCGTGGACAGGAACACCGTGGCGCTGACCACGCCCATCGCCGAGCTGCTCATCGTGGCCCCCGAGAAGCTGGCCGAGGTGGGCGAGTTCGACCCCTCCAAGGAGCGCCTGCTCGAGTACTCCCGCCGCTGCTTCCTGGCCCTGGACGACGAGACGCTCAAGAAGGTGCAGGCGCTCAAGAAGAGCAAGCTGCTGCTGCCCATCACCTACCGCTTCAAGCGGTGATCGCGCCGCGTCTCCGCGCCCCGGCCCGGGCCTCCCTCCCCCGTGGACCCGGCCCTCCCCAAGCCCCCGGTGGATGACCCGCCCCTCTCCCCGCCGCGCCCCTATCCCTCCTCCTTGCTCCCTGGGTTGAAGGCTCCCTTAGCCGGGTACCTCTCCCGAACGCCGGCGCACCCCTTTCTGCTGGGGCTGCCCAGCCCTGCCCTCGCCGGGCGCCTTCCTCCTGCAGAACCAGGCAGGCGGGTGCCGCCCCGTCTCGGGTGGGGGACTATACAGACCCCGTCTCTGCTCCCTGCCCCGCTGCCCCGCGGAGGAGCTGCCCACCCGATTCCCGGACGGACCTCCCAACTCCGCGCGACAGAGAATTATTCAGAGACTTTAAATTAAAAAAAGACCTGAAAATTTGGAATAAACTGGGCTCCAGCCTCTTCCTAGGAGGGGGATGTGCCTGGGAGGGGATGGCCGTCGCCCTGAAGACAGTGACTGGGTTGCTGGGGCATCCAGCGTGGTGGGCGGTCAGGCGGGAGGCCGGGGAAGACGGGGTGTAATTAGCCCCCTGGAGGCAGAGATGGAGAAAGAAGCTGTGCCCCAGAAAACTTTGAGGCAGTGCTCGGGAAGAGCAGCGCGGACACAGCTGGGCATGGCGGCTCATGCCTGTAATCCCAGCACTTCGGGAGGTCGAGGCGAGCGGATCACCTGAGGTCAGGAGTTCAAGACCAGCCTGACCAACATGGAAAAACCCCGTCTCTACTAAAAACACAAAAATTAGCCGGGTGTGGTGTCGCAAGTCTGTAATCCCATGTACTCAGGAGGCTAAGGCACGAGAATCGCTTGAACCCGGGAGGCGGAGGTTGCGTTTCGCCGAGATCGCGCCGTTGCACTCCAGCCTGGGCGACAACAGCGAAATTCCGTCTCACACACACACACACATGCAGCATGGATACTATCCGCTGAGCTACCCGGACCAGATCGCGGCGGGACTCGATGACCTTTAGTGCTGGAGGCCACCTGGGGGCCAGGCGAAGCCTGGAGGATACTTCCGTCGGGCCGCCAGGGGGCAGTAATGTGAGATTATCCATCTCCAGGTAGTAAAGCGCGATCATCGGTCCCCTGCGCCTGCGCGGAGGGCGGGGCCGGAGCGCGTTGATGCGGTTGCCAAGACAACCAAGAGGGCGGCCGGATTTAACGGTTGGGGATTAAGCACTTTCACTCTAGGAAAGGAAAGTCTCGCACACGCGCAATGGGGAGTCTGGAACCTGTTCCCCGCAACCCCCTCCACCCGAGCAGTGGGAGAGCACGCCGCAGAACGACTCACGCAGGCGCAGAAGCCCGTTTCCCCCCACCCGCCGCTTCCACCCTGCGCAGGCGCAAAAAGCCGCGCTGGCAACCTCCGCAGCGGTCGCGCGCACCCTTTACTCTGGTTGCTTTTGTCTCGCGCAACCTTCTCAGGCCCTCCGCGAGGCCAACTCTTTTTTTCTTTCACTTTCCCCACTCGGAGAGGCAGGTGCCGAGAACCCTGACCTCGCCCCCTCCTCCGTATCTCTTTCCCTGACCCACCTCGCCTCTATCCTCCCTCCCTTTTCCGTTCCCGAAGCCGGAAGGAGCCGAGGCACCAACGGAAAAAGCCGAAGCTGTCCCCCGAGAGTGAGGCCTTCACGAAGCGGTGGCGGAAGGAGCCGAAGTTGTCTGACTGGAGGAGTGAGCGAGTGGCATCCCCGGAAAGAGCCAAAACTTGGAATTGAGCTTAATCCCAGAAGGGGATTAATCCCAAGGGCGAGCTCCGGAAAGAGCCGAAGGGCCGGACCGTTACGATTCTCGAAAGTGGCCGATTGCTTGGACAGAGAGGAGCCGAGCAAGTCCGTGGAAGAAGCCAAAGACTGAGACGGATTGAATTGTTGGAAGAAGCCAAACTCTCAGAGGGGGCTGGGCGCGGCGGAACACGAGGACACACGGAAACCTCCGAACGTTGAGGAGCTAATCTCCGAAAAGTTACGGAAACCTAGGAAGTCGGCGAAAACCTAGCGTCGGGCATTTTCGGAAGGAGCCGAAGCTGCCGCCTGCCACTCCTTCGTCCAGTGTCCGAAAATAGCCGACTCGTTTCGGAGCCAGGCTCGGGGGGAGGGGTAAACTCGCGGACGGGCGGGCGGGCGGGCGAGGGGGCGGAGCCCGGGCGGGGTGGGGCGGGCTGCCGGAGGCTTGATTAGGTAGGAGGTGGCGAAGCGCCGGCGGCGGCCGGAAGTAGCCGAGGCCAGCGGCGGAAGTAGCCGAAGCGGCCGGAGCGGGCGGCAAGGCAAGGCGAGAGCTGCACAGGGCCCTACGCGGCCGCCTCAGCATGTCGGACTTCGACGAGTTCGAGCGGCAGCTCAACGAGAATAAACAAGGTGAGGGCGCCGGGGTCGCGGGGCTGAAGTGTGGGCGGCTGCTCGCGTCGCTGTTTGTCCCCCGCCATTTTCTCCCTCTCTTCCCCCCCCACCTCTGACGGCTGCGCGGCGCCCCCCCACCCCGGTTCCGTGGCGCGCGCCTCGTTCACGTGACGTTCTCGGCGTTCTGCCGCGCGCACCGTGAGGCGAAGGGGGCGGCGGGGCGCGGGCCCGTGACGCATGCGTGCGGCTGCTGTCCCCGCGCCCCACGTGGTCTTGGCGGAGGTGGCGTGGGGAACGCGGTGCGAGCGCGCCAGATGGCTCGACATGAACTTTTGTTTTTTAAGATCTTTTTATTTTATCTTAAAAGGAGATTATATTAGGCCCCGTAATCCCATCATTTTCTCCCGCTGCCTTGGCACTTCCGCTTCCGGTCTGGCCCACGGCCTCGTCTCCACGCCCCCTTTGTTTCCAAAATGGCGGTTGTGAGAACCGTGGGGGGGGGGTGCCTCCTTTCCCTCCTTCACGTGGATGAGGACAGAGCGGTTTCGGGGGACGCTTAGAGGCCCCGGGCCCCTCTCGTACCCCTTTTCCTTTTTGTTGATTTGCTTTGACCTCTCCGGCCAGCTTGTTTCTGCCCCAGCTGCTGGTCGTGGGGCGCCTCATATTAACGAGTTGGCCTCATGTTTCCTCGTATTCCCTTGTAAAAGAGGAGAAGTGTCTGCGTTCTTTGAGTGTCGACACGCATGCATGCTGCATACGCGGGGCTTTTAGCGGTCCCGAGAGTCCCGATATGGAGTGTTTGAGATAAACCCCAAATTATGTACAATCCCAAACTCAGGGCCCCTATACTCAGTCTCAAATCCCAATATAGAGAAGAAAACGGAGGTTCTGAGGAAAGGAGGATCTGGCCCACCGTGCTAAACTTTCCACTTACGGGGAAGGTGGGAGGCAGTTTCCTTTCAGGGTACGGAGAATTGTGATGGGTTGGAACAAAGCGATGGGTCCTACTGATTTTAGGGATTCCTAGAATATTCGAAGTGGGAGAGTTGTTAGACGTTTTAAAAATCTTCAATGTTTCAGTTAGAGTGAAGAAATAGAGGACCAAGGAAGGTTGGGGACTTGTTTTCTTGTGAGGCTTCAGCTGCCCGTGTTCCTAGCGTTCGTAGCGGGTTCAGAGGACGAAATGAGGGTTAAGGAATTTTCCTTTGAACCCGGGCTAGAGTTGGATAGGGGCTGGATTAGGAAACAGTGCCCTGGGGAAGAAATAACGTTTACTGAGTGTCTTGACTCTGTCTTCAGTGATGGACTGCTCAATAGCATAGGCCTTGGAGTTGAACACACTAGGGGTTTAGATATCCGTTGCATTGTTTAGTAGCTACTTTTAATATGTTTGCGTCTTCGTTTTTTTTCCCCCATTTGTAGACTGATTATTGTTATTCCTTTGTCACTAGACTTTGAGAATATTAATAAGGATTATAGTAATGATAGATGTAGTTAAACTGAGCGCTGTGTGCCGGGCTCTTTGCTAAACTCTTAGCATGATTGTACTAAGTGGATCCTTGTAACAACTCTCCCTGTAAGGCCAAAATGATTTCCATTTCTACTGGGGAGGAAACTGAGGGCTCAGAAAAGTTAAAAGCTTTCTCAGGTCTCAGCTGGTCAGAGGCAGAGCTGAGATTAAATGGGGTAACATGTAAAGTGTGTGGCATGTGGCTTGGCTTACACCAGGTGTCCAGTAAACAATACTTGGGATTGTAAAATTGCATGCGTAGAGAGGAAAGTCTTCCACTTACATAGAGACGGTTTCAGAGTAGGGCAAGGGCAGGAAAAGGTGCTTTCCCCACGTCATTCTGCCACACAACACCTGGGTGGAGTAGATGTGACCCCTCGTTTAAAGAAGAGAAAACCAAATCGGTTTAAGTTGCTTTTGCATGGTTTTATGTTGTTGGTAAGTGAAAAAACAGGTACTGGTTCTGAGCGCTGGCTGGCTGCAAAGCCAAGTTTCACTATGCTGGACCACCAAGTGGAGCTGATTGGTCCGTTTTTTGAGGCCCTTAGATGGCACCGTACTGGTTCTCCTGTGGTTTCTCCTCTGATGCTTGTAGGCCAGTGTCTGGACCTGGCGAGGTTCCTAGGTTGGCAGAGCTGCTCCCATAAGATGGCCAGAATACAATGTTTTCAGCAAACGAAGGTCCCTTTCTGTTTTTTTACCTGTCCAGCATCAGTGTGTAGGAGGGGGTTCTTGCCATAGGGGAAGCTCTGCCCACGCACGTGTCACTCTGGCTGTGGGTCTTTGTCTCTTCGGAGGACCGGCCAGCTTCTGTACCTGCCCGCTTCTGCTTCAGACCCTTCCTCTGCTCCCTGTGTCTACAGGGAATTTTCTTGTCTGTGTCCCAGGCACCCAGCAGGCGTCACTGCTTTCTCTGCGTGTGTTCCTTTCTGCCTGCTTGCCTGTTTCAGAGCCTTAGCAGCAGGAAGGGCTCCTGGGGCTCACAGCCTGTCCATCTTTCAAGTGTGGAGCCAGTGCTGTGCCCGGTGCCATGCCTTTGTGCTTACCTGGCTGCTCTACACTGCTGGCCTGTCCTGCTGATTGTTCCCCCCAGTTTCTGTCTTTGATTTTGGGGTTTTGGGCCTTCAAGCCGACAATTACGTTGTCGTTAGAGGTGCTAGCCAGAGCCTGATCCGAATTCAGGAGCATGGCCTCATGCTTAACTCGCTGGCTTTACAGGGTTTAAATTCCGGCTTCACCATTTCCTAGCTGTTTGGCCTTGGGCAAGTTGTGGCCTCTCTGTACCTCAGTTTCCTTATCCATTATGTCAGCCCCCAGCAGTGTTTTTCTGAAGCAGTAGTAAGGATTAAGTACAAACAGAACTATTTAATACAGATTCCGGTTGTAAGAAGCATCACATGTGTTACTGGTTTTCTTCCCCCCTTTGGGTGCATATTTTTCTGAGTGTTGGTGGTTTTGGAATTGTGATGCTTTTCCAAACATTCATCTTGCGTCAAAAAAACCTAAGACAAAACACTATGGGTGAGACTGAAGTTTAACA